AAGGGGGGGGGGGGGGGGTTGAGAACACATTCCAGGTGTTTTTACGGCGATGAGTGACCTTATGTTTGAATGACAAATTTTGCATACACAAGCAGAACAAATCTGTTCGCCAGGCGTTAGTGGGCAATCCTCTGTTTGACTTGATATTTGATTTTGTCCACTATTCAGTAATATTTTGCGCCATCTTCACACGCATATTATAGTGTCTATCACCCAAGGGATAAATTAATGATTATAAAGTTGACAGTACAAATCAAGCTAAAATTAAAACAGAAAGACATTTCGGTGTTGAATATTTTTAAATACGATCAACCCATTCACAATACTGTTGATGATGCAAACAAACAACGGACGGGGAGAGGATTTTTTCCGTTCATGGATGAACAAAAAGTAAATTGTCAATTATTTGAATTGAACAATATAAGCTTAATGGGAGGACACTGGGTACAACTAATATTCAATGTTGTGAGCGAAAAAAGTTGAATTAGATTACAGGTCAAAAGGAAAGTATGAAATTTTCTGCAAGTCACAAAACACTTTCATCGATTCTATCACTCCACGGCGATATTGCAATCCCCAACCCCGAGCAGAAACACCATATCCCAGTTACTGATTCCTTCTGTGTGTTTGATTGCCCCTCCCCGTGTGTGAACAGGTCAACCGAATTCGCGAGCGTGTGCAAATAAAACCCTGTGTCAGAACGGAGCTACCTGTGTAGATGTGGGCAACAGTTTCAACTGCATTTGTCCACCCGGATTCGACGGACGGTTCTGTGAGAATGATATCAACGAGTGCAATTCCATGCCCTGGTAAGTCAGTCCATGAAGTGAGTGTACGAACTGAGAACCGGTTGGCACTGAATCTTTGGACAAATCAATTCAAACATGGCCGAAAGCTTTTCTTCTTTTGTTTGAAATGCAAATAACATCTATCACTTGTTGACAGCGGTTGAATCAGTCCGAAGCTGTACGATTGTTGACAATTCAAGGTATCCCTGTAGACTAAAACAAAACGAGTGAAGCAGGTTGCTTGCTCTAGGCTTGAAATAAAAGGAGCTGCTCTTAATTATGTACACGCTGATTAATGTATTCAAATCAGCTACCGGTAAGCAGATAGCATCGTAAGCCCGAGTTCCATCTGCGGGGTTTCGATTCCAATGGATTCGAGCTGATTATATGCTTTATTATGGTTCGACCACGTTGAAAACCGGTCCCATTCTCACTTAGTTTTTCTTCGATCAGCATTGTATCAGTTCGAAATCCATGACAGGGAAAAATACGGCTATGGACGTAGTGAAGCGACTCTTCAGACGGAAATGCACCGTTACGTTCAACGCAACTGGAATTTTAACTGATCGAGGAGCAAGACCATTCTATCACAATTTAAACGCCTAAAACAGCGAATGTGATACGATGTCCGCTTCGGTGATTGAACTAAGTTCGCTCTCAAACGACATCATACAAATTGTTCTAGTGCTCCGTAGTTATGCCTCCGTTTGAGGTGGATTTCATGTTTTAGTGCACAACTGCTTGCATTGTTCTTGCAAAGGTGTTTTAGACTATACTCACTCCTTAAAAGCAAAATCAAAACAAATGGAGGGAAAAGGAGGGATAAACAGAGAATAGTGGTACTAGTTAAGGTGATTGTAAATCACTGAGCCAAGTAAAATGCTTTCATGATGGAACAATCGATTTGCAATAAGTTCCTTGCAATGAATGGGGAAAACTGTGAATTGAGAGCTTGGTTAGTACTTTAGCCTCTGAATAATTTGTGCTCGGTCGTGAGTGGCATACAAATCGATCGCTTTCTGCAATGGGATATGAACGAAGTCACAGGAGACGACTAAAGTCATAGAGAATCATTAATTATGCATAAAGAAAAATCAACTAGTATTAGGAACATCAGCCCACATCCAGTGCTGGGTTATCCAGTTACAAGTCTCGTCGTAGAACCAGGTGATCTGTTTCTATTGATCCACTACCTCTGTGAATTCCGTAGCTAATAAATAGTTCCGTTTAATTCGTGTTTCCCATAAAGTTCCAGTGAAAATAACAGAGTAAATACCTCAACTTCTATCCCGAATAAAACTTCATAAACATACTTTGATCACATAACTGTCCGCTATTCTTGGTAAGCTATCCAATCACGTTTATTTTGAGAGTTACCCAAACGATATCATTTACTGAAGGTCAGTGTTAATCTCGATTCTTTCTGAAGGCGATGGCGAAACTAATTGAACCACTTTCCCACATCGTGATGCCCTACATACAAACTGGTCCGCTTCATGTGGGAAATGGACAACAGTAAAAAATACACGAGTCTATCAATATTTGTCTTTGCTCCATTCCGACCAATTGCACATATGGCACCCAGTCTTTTCAAATGTGTCGCACTGCCAGATTTCTAAAGCAGAAAAAGAGGCGAGTCGAA